CAGACATTTTAGCTTTCACATCTGAAACATTAGAAGAATCTCACTATAGAGAGGATTATAGAGAATTGCTGGAGTTGACAGCCATATTTCTTAGTGGATCTCCAAAACGAGAAATATTTATTCGCAGAGCTGGAGCTATGCACCAAGCAAGATGGATGTCTAAAGCAATCTATTGCTTAAAGATGTTTCTTTTGCGCAAGGAATTTTCAATGACTCCAGATGATAAAAGATCATGCAAAGAAGTACCTGTTTTTGTAGTTTCAATTTATGTAAAATATTGGTTTAACGCTGCAAGAGCAGATAAAGCTCCTAACCAAGACCTATTGGTAATAAAGGAACTGCAAAAATACTCGAAAATAGATTCTGCTATTTCAAAAGCAGCTTTAAACAAAATTCATAACCATTTATGGTATTTGACTCCAGAAGATGCAGCAATGGCCTTTTTTGATGATGAATTATCTTGTCAAGACAAGAACAAGATAAAAAATGCCCTGTCTAAAAAAATAAAATTTCTAATAACATTAAACGGCTACCTGCAACTACAGTGAAAGATATTGGAAAGAAAAGTATATACCACTTTATAAATAAAGATTCAATGAACTTTTTTTCGCGTTTTAAAATGCAACTTCTTTTCTAGATCAAGATTCATCAGAATGGTATAAAAATAATGGCCAAAATCAACATTTTTGTATTGTATCACTGCCTACATTCGCACGAACGTAGCAATGCTTTGCTCGCACGGTGGAGAGAATACAGAAGGTGGCGCCGATGGCAATACCGCTAATCGGCTCTCAGTGAATTTGACAGAATCAGCTGTTATGCTGACGTCCCTGTCGAGATAACAGCAGTAGTGATGTGCTGAGTTAATACTTTTAAGTATCCCAATACTCTCGATACTCGGTACCGAAACATCCAGGATTCGAATAAAAGCGCACATAGGCCAAAAATATGGAAAAAACGGTTCAGGAGATACTCGTCTATCACAACCCGAATGTAGGAGCCAATAGAGCTTTTAATACCGATTCAATTAAAAGATGTATATATGTCGGTTCGAGGCCATAATACAGAGAAACTCTTGCTTGGTTGAAGCATTTTTGTTCCAGCTGAATCAGGCGATATCATTTTTGTAGGCAGATTCTGTAACCAGTTAGCGACAATTTTCAAATCCGTATCGGTTTTGTTGACGTATGATATGAAATATTTTTACGTCAACAAGTGCGATATCGATCCCAAACTTGTCGCTAACTGGTTACAGAATATACCCCCCTGAAAGGCTTCTTCATCCGTCAAAGTATTTTTCTTGAACCTTGGATCGACTAGGGTTAAAACTGATAAAATAATATTTCTCTGTTGCGATAAGTTCAAGTGTTTTAGCCGATATCATATAAATTAGTAATGAAAGTTTTTTCTAAACTTGAAATGCATATTATGGCGAAGGTTTAATGTAAAGAATCAGTCTCGGGTACCGATAAGGAAGTATTGGGTACCAAAACCTTTTTTAAGTATTGGGTGCCGACAATTCAGCACATCACTAGACAGCAGTTTTATTTGCCGCTCTCAGTCGTCAACTCTACGGTGACGTCACGCCAAAATTACTCTCGCGAATTCTGCTGCAATCGGCGCAATCTTGTATTCTATCATTCTTGCTTTGCTCGATATGAAACAAAAACAGAGACGAAAGAGAATAAATGGAACAATTATTCATTTTCTTTTGTCCCGCTGAGACGCTGCGTATCGAAATAAACTTAGCAATGCTTTGCAAAGTGTAAAGTGGTTCTATGAATCTTAAAAGTTTGTGCAAAGTTTCAGATCGAGCGGTTTAATTTGATGTATAATTTTTATCTGTACGATTTATAGATCGCTGGGAATAAGCTCCTTGTTTTAGAATAATATATAAGTAGCTTACCTGATTAAAGTCTCCAACAAGTTCACAAAACTAATGTGTTTACATCAGTACCCTGA